TATTTTTATGTTTTTTGTTGTGGAATGAACCATATTTTTACAAAAAATTGTCTGAAAAATATTAAAATAAAAATTGTTGCATATATTGTAAAAAATCAGCTGTTCCAATACTTTTACGGTTACTAATCTCGCAGTTTTCAGTGTATATTGCATTGCATCTTTTTCTGAAGGATTTCAAGTTGGCTGCATTTATACAGATTTTTCGAAGGCTTTTGACAAGATTTCTCATGCGATTTTAATTACTAAGTTAGCCTACTTGGTGATCCATTAAGTTTTTTGCAATGGATTTATTCTTTATTAAGTGATATGCGTTGTGTTATCACAACAGAAGGTGAAACTTCTGAGCATTTTCTGGGGTCTCCCAAGGCAGTATATTAGGCCCTTTGCTACCTAAGGAATCTCATTGAGTAGAAAGAAGGATGGGATCCAGGACTGCATAAGACAACGACTAGACACGGCGATGTACATACAGTGAGTACCAAATTCTTCCATTAAGGGACGAGGTCCAACAATACGCGCAATAACCACTGAACCTGACCATATAGGCAATAAACGACATTCACATGGAGACTGTCACCGCCTTCACTAGTCACCCGTCCAGTGAAAGCCGTAATAGGGGTACCAAATCGCCACCTATAGCAGAAAATTAGCTTCAATTGCTGATAGAGACCCGCGTAACTCGGGGCTCAATTTCGATCTGGATGTGGTAGACAGTAGGTTGAACTTCTATCTGCCCAGACTTTACCTCGGCGTACCCAATCTTTTTTTTGCTTTCTGTGTTGGATATTGCTGAGTTCCATCCTGCCTTAAAAGCTAAGTTGCTTAATTTCTTTATGAAAAATGACACGCAAGTAAAAAATAAAACCACTTAAATCTTGCTTCTTTGGACATCAAGAATGGAAAAATGGACTTTAAAGCTTCTACGCAGACGGATAAGAATGGGCTTTCAGTATTTTTTCCCAAAAATGTCCGGCCATTGTTGCACCCTCAAACTAATTTTTAATAACTCATTATTTTCTGAAGTTTTTATTGATGATTGGAAAAACACAATTATTTTCAAAAGTTCCAACGATGTGAACAATTATAGGACGATCTCGAAGCTTTCTACTATACTCAAAATTTTCGAAGGAATTATTAAAGAAAATATGTAGAGTTATCACTGGTAGGTCTACAGTTTCCAACCTAGCTGCCTTTGGTGAACTTTGCTTTACAACTTTTCAGGTCGAGTGTGTTTACACAGATTTCTCTAAAGCATTTGATGGAGTTTCTCACATAATTGTATTCTTCTTCTTCTCTTCTTTTTTGGCGCTGTAACCGCCTAAGCGATTTTGGCCGAGTTCAGCAAAGCACGCCAGTCGTTTCTCCTCTGTGCCAACTGACGCCAATTGGAAACGCCAAGTGAAGCCAAGTCCTTCTCCACCTGATCTTTCCATCGCAGTGGGGGCCTCCCTCTTCCTCTGCTACCACCAGCGGGTTCCGAGTTGAATACTTTCAGAGCTGGAGCGTCGGTGTCCATTCGAACGACATGACCAAGCCAGCGGAGCCGCTGTATTTTAATTCGCTGCACTATGTCCATATCGTTGTAAAGCTCATACAGCTCATCGTTCCATCGTCTGCGGTACTCGCCGTCGCCAACGCGTAAAGGACCGTAAATCTTCCGCAAAATCTTTCTCTCAAACACCCCAAGAGCCGCCTCATCGGATGTTGTCATTGTCCATGCTTCTGCGCCATATACCAGCACGGGCATGATGAGTGACTTATAGAGCGTGGTTTTCGTACGTGTATTACGTGGTTGAAATCTTATATATCCAATAGATGATGTGTGGTAAGGATTGAGGGTGAATGCTTGGAACCTTTCACTGTATCATCACGTATGCCTCAAGGCAGTATGTATTTCAGGACCTTTACTCTTTGTTTTATTTATAAACGATATTAGTCCCTTTTTTTCGTTTGTCAATTTTCTTCTGTACCTGAAGACTTGAAAATATTTTCTGCGTTTAAAAATTCAGATGATGTTTTAGGTTGAAACAGTAACTCTGGTATTTCTTTAAATATCAAGAAGAGTTCAATTTCGCTTGGCTTTTCGGTATCAAAGGGGAATTTCTTCGAACTTTTGAACTCGGTTTTTTAATTTATTTCTTTATCTTTATCATTTTAAACTCATATTTGCTCTAAGAGGTCTGTAAAAACTGCTATGTCGTGTATGTGAAGGCACCAACCACCTTTGCGCATGCCCACCTCAACCCAACTACACTAACATCCCTCTCCCGTCGGAAGAACAGCACGTTTACTGGGCCTACCGTTAGTTGAGCTTGACGACAACGACCGTAAAAAGAATTCAACCCCAATTCTCAAATAATGCTAGGTTAATTTCTCTCCGAAAATGCATAGTTTGCATGATTTAAAAACTTAATATTTTGTTGTTGGTGTCAGTCTCTAGTCTGGTGAGATGCTAGCCTTTTGTGTTTAGTGTCTTTGCTGTCAAAATAATCTGATTACCTTTGTCTATGTTTAAAGACGAGCTGGTGCCGAAAATACAGAAACTGCTCTCTACCTTAGCGGTCTAGAAAATTGTTATCAGTTTGTTTTTCATAGTTTCAATGGAATAATAAATAGTTATAAAAAAAAAAAACCTCTACTTATTTAACTAAGCCTAATAAATAAGATGCTAGTGTGTATGTTCATATGTTTTGATGATAAATATTGATGTGTT